AGCAGTGAGGAATGATCCCGATATAAACCTATGGTAGAATATATAGAAGAATTTGCTACATATATATAATTATCACAAAAAGAAAGCAATTATCTTGATTAAAAAAAAGAGAGAGAGCCATCTGTGGCCTGCCACTGATCCCCGCAAAGGGGCCTAATAGCAAGGCAAAGGTACACAACCTAGCAGAAAATTCAATGCTCCCTAGACCCTAAACTACCGGCCCTTGAATGAAGTGCCTGTAAATCCATACCACAAACCATCTGATGACTTCAATAAAACAATGAATGCTTTAGTGAAACATTAAGTAATATGGTTATTACTTATTAGTAGTTAGGAAGGCGAAGCTCTTATCATTGTTAAGAAGGAATGCTCTTATTTAGGATGCTCTTATCAAATTTTCTCTTCCACTACACATCAATTTTCATCATGTCCTCAGATGAGATAAGAAATCCGAGAAGACAGATAATCTAGCTGCATCAAGGGGAGAGACTTCATTTCTTTCGTCCCTTCCATATTTTTCTTATAAGAGAACTCAGATTAGGCATGGACATCGAGAAACGGGTGGTTTAGGTACTATGAAGCTGAAGGGAATCAGCCTGATCGTATAGACTTGCTAGGTTTGTTTCAAATAGATGATTGAAAGTAAAAAAGTTCCTCTATTGGTAACTTTATTATTAGTTGCATATATGTTCAGTTATTTGGATAAAGGAGAATTCTTCTTCTATAAAAATAAATACATTCAAGGATTCTGCTCATAAAAATTTCAATCTAGTGATCCTGTAAAGCACAATGGAATAAGAATTTTTTTTATCCAGAGTCAAACAAGGATAATTTAAGCTCATTACCGTTTCTTTTGCAACAGAACCCGTCCTAGCAAAGTCATGTTCTTCATAGGCCTCAAACAAGCTGGAATAGAAATATAAGAATAAGTTCCAAAAGAATTCTTTGAATAATGGAATAAAAAGTCAAAAGTATTTCTGAAAATCAAGACATTTAAGAATGAACAGAAGTACAATAACATTTCAAATTTAATAATTTAAAGTATACATTGCAATGAGAAGATCATAATAAAGAATATAATGAATAAGAAAATAGCAAAAGAAATTATTGCCAAGGACATAAGAAATTATTCAAAATGAGTCATTAATCAATTTATTAACAATTGAAGGCAAACCAGTTCTCTTTCTAATGGCACACAAGCCACCGTATACATGTACACTGCTAGGCATAAAGGAGCCATTGCTATTCTACAGTCTTCTTTGGACAAAAATCCAACAATCCCATACTAAAAGGAAGCACAAACAAATCCAGCCCAAAAGAATCAAAATTTGTGCATCTAAAATTAGTTCAACATGCTGTTCACTTGTTCCTATACATGAATGTCTTTGTTCGTGATGGAAGCAACTAGATACAGACTGTTAAACAAATCATGCGAAATTAAGCATGCCATATTTCTCTCCATTCCATTGTTGAATGCAGGTGAATAAAGCCAAAATCTACATGTACTTCAAGTCGAGGCTAATAGACATCCTATTGCGTCATACCGTATAAAAACACATCAAGATGGAAAAGTGACCACATACAAGAACAAGAACACAAATTAGAAATGATAATATCAATCTTACCTAGAACACAAAAGGTCTCATAACAATCAACTCCACGAATCAATAGAAGACTTTGGTCACCAAGAGAACTCCATATTATTCAATAGGTTAGAGGCATTGAATGAGTTAGATTTCAAAGACACAGGACACCAAACTTTGGTTTAAAGCAGAGGGCCTAAGGTCCAAGCCTAGATCATCTATGACATATTGAATTCTTCATTGTACTCATTAGAATGGAAGCAGATTTGGAGACCATGTTCTTTATTGTTGGATGAATTTGGTCAGAAGAGTTTCACGCTCCACAGAGGAGCATCCATAAGTATGCATCAGACATCAGATAAAGATAAAAAACACAATCCACGATGGTAAAATCATGACAAAAAATGGCTCATAAAGGAAGTATCAAGATTAGTCACAAAGGTTAATGATATGGACAACATAAGCCATAATTCTACTTTGACCAAATAACGAACAAAAAACCAGAAATAAAGGAGCCTGTGATTATTAAACCAATATGATTTTCACCAGGCTAAGTCAAATCTTAAGAAGGCAGTCAAGCAACAATTGCGCATTTACTGCGTGTTTTTCACATTATTGTAAGACTAAATCCAAAGTTCATAAGGCCCATTTGCTATTTCTTACTGTTCCATGCATGAAATAGTAACGCCTAGGAAATCTAAAACAACCATAGCACAAATGCAGTAAAATATTTGCAAGTTTACCTCTGGACTTTGTCTTTAGGAAGATTAGTACAAACAAGGCCAGTGTTTCCTTGAAGAAACTGCAGACAAATTTTAGAAATTTCATAAGGTTAATGTTACTGCATACAGTTATGCAAAAAGTCGATCTTATTCACAAAAAGATATATACACAGATACATAACCGAATTTACCTTTTGTTGTGAATAATGGAACTTACATATAAATAACTGAACTTACCTTGGAAACTTCATGAATGCCTTCTTTAACTTCATCCGCAGCAGTTCGTCCCAAGGCAATTTGCATAACTTTATTTGAGCCAAGGAAAAATCTGAGAAGTGATGGATGCATTATTGAAATAAAATAAAATGTTTTATTGAATTGTTGAATAAAAATTGATCCATTTAAATTTTATTTATAAGCAGGAGTACAAGATTTATCTCTATAGCCATTCCAGTCAAATGGCCATGAATTAGCTGCTGTTAAGACAAACAACACCTAAACCATAAATTATATTAAAGATCTTCAATTTCATGAAATCAAACTCATTTTCCAGGCGGCGGAGAATATCTTTTGAGCCATTTGATCATGTTGATGGAGTTGAATTCAATAAGAGTAGAGCCCTAAACTCCTTGTCGGAAATTTTAAACCTAAAAAGAGGCAAAAGGTAGTTTATTGCCCAACAATGTTTATCATATCTCTATATCCAACATTTATCATGAAACACTCAATTATTCCCTCTTTGCAGATACCCTTCATAGAGGCTTGGAAAGCTGCCCACACAATACTTATACCCCTCCTGCTGCATTTCATGCCACCTCATTTTTGCACTGTGCCACTAACAAAGAGAGAGCAAATATATCACAGAAAAAGGGAATGATAAACCTCTTGGAGGCTTAAAGTGCTATAAATATAAATGCACATTGAGGATATTAAAGAGTGTCAGAGGTTTATTGCAGTAATATCAGAGGTTTATTGCAGGCAATGGTCAGAGATGGTGCTTTTTAAATAAAGTTAACGATAATATTTAAAAGTAAGAAGAGTAACAAGAGTAATGGCATCCCCCTGGTTGGGTGACCTATACGTTTCAAAATGAGATATCTTTAGCACTCTATACAAAAAAGTGGTTGGATAACCCATTACAATAGTATGAACACAAAAAATACAGGACTGCAGCTCAAAAAGTTGCCAAAATGGTCGTCATTTCCAGAGTTGGCTCTGTGTTTCACAACGCTATGAGCTTCATGGTTTGCCTCGCACCATGTATGCTGCTATGAGATGTGTACTGGCCTGCATAAATCAAAATTTGGTCAAAATTATGCTTTAGTCGCCATGGGCAGTTTGATGCTCGTGATGCTGGAATGACTTCTTGAGAGTCGCCCTCGACTACTACATGGGTTGTCCATTCTGGATTTAAATCTTTTGATGCCCTCCATAAGGGCATGCCTTGGCTGTTGTGGATTCAATGTGGACAACAGACCCCGAACAAGACAGTAGGGCCCTTCATTCCTAATCTTTGAAATGGCCACGATAGCCCGCCGGACCTGGGTTACCAAGAGGGAAACCATCAAAGTTGAGCTTAATGTGGCCTTGATCTAGGGAATTCCATATTGAAGACCTAGGGATTTGAGTAGGTGTGATTTCTTGCAAGGGCTGCCAGTTGAGGAGGAAATTTGTGGTTGCCTGGTGTTTGAATTCCTGTTCGTTGCCAAAAGATACAAAGCGTTGATGCAATCCTTTAATACATAGGCTGTATTATTTTCCTTCAGAGGTTCTAGAGTTTCTTTCGATCCAAATCACCCATAAAGTGGCCACAACTGCTGCTCTCCAAAGGATTAGGCCAGCAGCTGGACCCTTTTTTGGTGTTTTTTTTTTTTTTTTTGGGGGGGGTTGTGGGGGAGGGGGGGAGGAGGAGAGAATACCCTAGGAAAATGTGTGGGATAGATGGCAGCATTACCCATAACCAGTTGAAGAGTTGTATGAGGTTGGCCCACATCCAAGAAGCCACCACAATGTATGAAGAGGAGTTCAATGGTT